ATATATATATATATATATATATATATATATGCATTTTTGCGCAAACACGACCAAGTACCAGTAACCTTGTGATTTTCCTCACAGAATATACATATATAAAAGGCAGAATTTGAAATGCGAAAAAAACTGTCACCAGACAAGCTACTTTCTGATTGGTGTAGCCAGTTATTATGAAGGTTATAGCTCGCAATAATGTCTCAGCTATGGACGGTGAAACGAAATCAACTTGTACTTGTTGATGCGGAATTGTTTCCGCCTCTCAACGTTAGGCTAAAAAAAGGAATATACTAGTAGAAAGCAAGGTGTTCACATGATCGTCTTGTTTACTCTCAAGCAGAGACAGCGAGTCTGCCACTGTGTTCCATTTCATCATGATACACACCGTTTCAGACACAACGATGAAGAACCCGGATGAAGAACGATAATGATACACCGAATTACTGATATATTATGTCTACTGTATTCTAATTCAGATTTTTATCCGTCAATGTTATCAATGAAATGTACTTGTTATAAATGTTATTTCGTGAAACAAATCGATATCTGGCATAACTTAAAATATATGATATGTTACAATATAATATAAAATTCTCGATTGTTTGGTTTTGCAGAAATATGTCTAGAAGTTCTCCTGTCGAAATTTAAAATTGTATTGGCAACACTTCCGTTTTAATATTGACGCTAGGTTAGATGGCCCACAGTAAAACACTGTTACATCTCCTTTGTTCTCTGCAGCAATTGCCTGGAATGCCTGCAAAAAAAAATATACAAAATAAATATTAAATTTTTAATAAACATATCAATTGTCTCAAGGCTGTCATGTTTGCAATAAATAAAACGTCACTATTGTGAATAATATATGTATATGTTTTATGAATATGCTATCAAAAAAAATATCATTTTAATCAACAACATAAATTAGATTATCAAATTAATGGGCATTACCTCATCCCAATCTGGTTTGCCAGGGTTAGTTTTTGTCATCAATCCTGTAATCATATCACGATTTTCCTTCTTATGTATTAGATCAAGCGCCATCTGGAGGCCAAAACTGTCAAGATCGCCCTTGCCGCGTGCTGACGTCATGTACAGATGAAAATCGATAATGTTGTTCAAATTCGATAATTCAGACTGCTCTTGTTCTAATTGGTTCAATAGATTCACGAACCATTCAAATGATGTCTGGCTCCGGTTAATCCAATAAAAATCGACCTGGTGGGAAAATAAAATAATATTTTATTCAATCACAAGGAACAATACAACATCAACACAAAGTTGTTATAACAGTGTTACTGTTACGGCAAATTTATATGATTAACAATAACACTCAAAAATTCAATCGACTGATTACTTCGGATTGTGACACAGTGGCATTGGTGGTTACCTCAAGATTGCAGAATTGTTTTGCGACCAAGGAAATAACCACGTCCTATGTAACTTCACCTGCTTTACCGACTTTCCCTCTAGTAAATTTTACTGTGTTCCCATGAAACTTTAACAACTTTCATGGCGAATTTCTACGCAACTTGATCGACTTTCCACGTAAGTTTGCCGACTTCCTGGGCAACTTTACCGAATATTTACAAAAAAAAACACAACAATTTTACCTTTTTTAGAGTCAGATTCGTCTCTGGCAGTTCTTCCCTCCACGCATACCTGCATTTTGGGCAAACGTTTTTCGTGGATTTGAATTGCTCGTTAATACTCTGTAGAATTGAAGCAAATGGCGTGACGCCAATACCCGCACCGATCAAGACAGCGTGCTGCGAGTCAAATATGTGTTGAGAAGGGGAACCATATGGACCATCAATGTATACCTGCAATATAACAACAATCACATACTGTAAAATCATTTACTTTCACTGGCATTTAATTTTGAGCATACTAGTATTCACCGATTTCGAGTTCATGAACTTGCCATGGAGACAATGAGTTCCATAGTGATTTTACATATTCATGAAGATTTAATTTAGCGATATTTACTGCATATATTTACAATGAAAAGACCGAAATTAAAACACCGTGAATAATTAGTGCCTCTACAGTAACATTAAATAGACTACACGGAGGACGTGGGGGTATTTTTGAGTATCTTTGAATGGAAGTGGTCGTTGCGCTATTCAAGCACGTGATATGAGTCCCATATGAACAAAGATGGTGACCTTGCGTAGCGCAGATCACATTACCTCAACAGGGACGGTACGTTGGATAATTGGAACCATCAACGAAAATTTCAAAAAGTCGAAGTTGGTATTTAGTGCACATCGCGTTCAGATCAAAACTCGCGTTCGTGCTCACCACGCGTTAGATTGTGTGGATATCAGTGTTTTTTTTGTCAACACAAATCTCGCGCATGCGTGGCGCGACGACCACCACACTTTAAATATGTTTGCTTGATATTGCCTATTGATAAACAAAGTAGAGTATGGCTTATCGAAAAATGAAAACGTTGTATAGCAGTATACATTGAATAAAATAACGAATACGGGGCTTATGTGCGTGTACCTCGAATTACCTGTACACATAAAAAAACTCAGGCCGCTGGCGCATGCGCAGTTGGATTTTTCGTTATTTCACCAATGAATACTATTTGTATTATTATAGATCTCACTATTTTGAAATACTAGTAGTCAAAATTATTCGTAGTGCCTCTTTGATGATATTTTGAAATGGAAAACTATATATATTGATATGTTTTCTGTTAGCAAAGACAAAAAAAGTTGACCTCTCTGGTTAGGGGTAGCGTAAACAAATCTCGCCAACACTTTGTTTAGTTTTTAAGATTAAACATTAAGAAAATTAACGCAGTGGATTAACCAAAACAAGACATGAATCTATCGATATAAAATTAACTAACTTCCAACTCAGTGTCACTGTCCTCTTTTTGAACAACACCGGACATGGTTTGTAGCGGAGGTGACGTAGAATGGATATCCAATAAGTCAAACACTATCCTATCATCGTCGTTCTCATTGGCAGTAGATCGGTCACGTGGATTTATGTCGCAGCGTTTTTCATCTGCAATGAGTACATTCGGTAAACTCATATTATCTTCTATATCTAATATTTGCAATTCCATGGCATCCAACTCACTTAGGATATCGACAGTTGTAATACTGTCTTTCTTTGCCCACGTGACATCATTACTCGTCGGTGATGGACTGGGCTGTGTGTCACATGCCTCCCTCACAGAATAATATTTGTGGAGTTTCTTTGTCCAGTTTCCAACAGCTCTGATGTGTAATGATATAGTATCTGCGAAATAGAACATACATTATTTATTTGGTTTTATGTACAAAAGCTAAAACGATGTCTGTAGAATATACGGATAAGTGAATCAGGCGTTTCTGGCGCCAACAACAACAACAGAAACTACCGGTAACATAAAAGAAAAAGCTGTACATTATATTTGTCTTCGGTTAGACGGATGACGTCATATTTCTTACCTAGTTGTTGAGGGGCACTACTGATCGTGAATGGATGCCATTCATATTTAGCGATCCGTGGAATATTGATATAAACATATTCCCCACACTGAAAATTGAAATGCGGTGGCCTCTTGATCCGAAGATGTACTACCTAAGAAAATAAAATAGGATATATATGTTATAATGAAAACGTAATACTAGTAATATGGGTTCTTCGTGTTACATCCGGGCATTTTCCCGAAAACTTGCGCGTCGTCGCTGTAGCTCAGTGTTAGACTGGCACAGTCTGGGCGATTCATTTCTTTTTAAATTTAAAATTAAATAAAAAAAAAAATAGCGAAATGGAGGTGTTAACGCAAAATCCCCTGTAACCGCGAAATCACCCAGACTGTGGTGGTTTTCCGGTTCATCCCACCTTTCGCAAAACTATTTTTATCCATTTTTTTTTTAAATCACCACAGCTGGGCCACTCTAGCTTAGTTTGTATGTGTACACTTCTTTTGTATGAGTGGCACGCTCGACACCTTTATGATCTGTGGTCGTTCATTATTGAAGAGTAGGTTTATGGGAGATTTTACCATATTCTAGATAAAGTACGACTACACAACCAACACAGTGTCGATTTTAACGACATAGACCACTTTTCCGGAAATAGTGAGACTGAGGTGTAAGCACGACGCCCGCTTTTGTCATGGTGCAAATAACTTGAAGACGAACATGTTAGTCTATTGATTTTCGGTAAAATGGAATCTTATTGTAGCCACGTTGATTGGTAAACCCACAAGCACAATATCACGCGTGCAAGTTTACTTCACACCCCGAAACGACTTCCGGGAAAGTGGTCTATTGCGACCCCCACCCCCACCCCATGTAAGTCAATTTGACGTCACAGGAACGCCGCGTCACTAGAGGGCACAGTCTACAGGAATAATGTACATCACAATAAACACACATGATGTATATACAAGACTTACTTTAGATGGCAGAGTCTTCGCCGTCTTGATGTATGTTTTACCGTAGTTTGATCTCTTTATACACTTGGTACGCAGGATTCGTTCCATTACATACAGTATACCAGGAAACAGAAACCATATCCAGAAGTAAGGCGCATGCGCAATCAGTACTGCCCATAGTAAAAATATCAACTGATGAGTCCAGTAGAAAAGCTAGAATAAATACAAAAAAATAGCACTGTAAAACCATTAATTATCACTATATTGATGTTGTGAACAATTTCACTATGTTTTAATTTCACGAATTGGTCAAAGAAACAATGAGTTTTATTGTTATTATACATGTTCACGTAGATTTAATTTACGGATTTTACTCATCAGCGAAAATATAAAAATTAAGACACAGTGAATAATTAACGCATTTACAGTATCTGCTTATGTGTATAAAGTGTGCGTTGGGAAATTCGTGATTGACCTTTGACCCTTACCTGGAAATAACCGTTTCTCCTGACGAATGGTAATGAACACGCCACAATGATAATTAAAATAATAACCAATAGCAGCCCAGTAAGATTTGCCAAGTTATCATTCCATTTGAAACCTGTCATAAATAAGTAAAGATTTTGTAATTACTCGCTGTGACCATCGTCAGAATCGCACGGTCCCGTGTCTTCGACCTATAGGCCTCTGTTTAGAGGCTTGGCCGAATAAACTTAGACCTTGGCTAGTGAAGATGGCTGTGAAATTCGAACACGAACCGCGCTTTTAATTGAGTGGTTCGTCTTGTAACTTCATTAGTGTAGACGAATATTAACTCATTGGACATTAAATGGCTGATTAAAGCGGGGAGTCGTCACCTGCGCATGCGGCAGAAGGCATTGTTTACAAACACGCGTCTACCCATGAGTCTTTGCGTTTTTAGCGTGGGTTGTTGTCGTCGCCTGGGACTCAATTCCCGCGCTTGCGCAGCTGACGACCCTCCCGCTTTAAATTGGTCAACTTCTTATCGTCCAAGCGATAATTAATAAGTGATCAATTATGAATAATTATCTAATATACTACTCACCAAGGTTTAGAAGATGTGACACTGTGTGGATAATACTAAGTATTACAATTATCCAACCAACCATCTTATGTAACATCACGTGGTCGTCTAATGGAAGATAATATCCTAGCATTGTACGGCGTAGCCACGTGAGGCATTTCCTCAACATTAATATGACAATGAACATAGTGTTGAAACTTAGACACCTTCCTGCCAAAAATGAGTTATTTCAAGAATTACTGGCATGAGAACTTTTTAGCAACTGAACGGAAATCACTTGTCAGTTGAAATCACGTTGATTATCTTTGACTTACCAGATCCTTTGGCAATTGCAATCCAGACGTCTGAGGGCGCTCCGTAATTCTGATAACCTGCCTCGGCAAACAACGCCATATTGAGAAGAACGTAGCAAGCGAGAAACGCGACGCACTTCTGATTGTCTCCAAGGTAACGATAAATGAATTTGAACACAGATGGCGTTTTATTCTTCTGCTGCTTTTTGGGGGATGGGTTCAGCCAGCTTGTTGCACTATGGACGGAATTATGATTATATATATATATATTACCTCAATCACCTTTTAAGTCGAGCATCTGTGACGTCAATATGACGTACAGATGTGTAAGCAGGGCATTACAGCTCCATGGTGTAAGTAATGTCGTTCATAACGACAATTCTGGTTCATTCTTTACTATTTTTGTTTTCATACATCTAAGTTAGTCATTTTGAATGACCTCAGATCAAAACAATCTGTTACGTCACTGAAATAATTTGTCGCTGGAGGGCGCTTATAGCGAAGGTCTATTCACATCTTGAACGAAAGAAACGGTTTTTAATTCGCGTACATGATTAATTGTACGTACCTAGTAGTTAAATTGTCTAATATCTCGGGATATTTTTCTAATTGTACTCGAAAATCTTCAAACGTGATTACACCAGTGCCGTTGCGATCGGCGTCATTAAACAAGACGTCGGTCAACGTGTCTAGCTGTTCACTTGTACATTTAACACCGCTGTCTTTCATGCTCGATAATAATACAGTACGGAGTACATTCCAGTCAATTACATCATTTCCTGTTAGAGACAGTGTGAGAAGATCCATAAGTAACTTTATATACACGAGAGTGCGGTTAACGCCCCGGGGTTCACGCACCGCGTCCCGCCACGCTAGAAGTCGCGTGAATGGTCGCAACGACGTAATATTCGCTAAAAAGGCTGTTTCCCTTCTATATTGCACCATAATGTTAAAAGTTATTAACATTTATTGCTTGTTATAACAACATTTTTAAAAATGTACACTTCTAAACGAAGTGAATATTCTTAGATCATTATTATGTAGTTGCTTTTTATGTATTCAATCATTGTTACACATGAACACACGATGCATTATACCACAGTCCCTCAACACCGGAACTGTGATTATTCATACTTTCAATTTTGTATACGTCATATGAGCCCCACACCGAACACGAGACGTTGGGTGACGCTTCAATCTAATAAGACCCCCCCCCCCGCGAAAAAATAATTGGGAGGCGTCGCCCCTCCATAATCAACTTGAAGTTGAAACCTTTTGTGTCAGCAAAATTAGCCTCTCAAAATGCAGGAAATAGCGTTTCAGAGGGTATAGATTCCATTTTTTTAAGGAGGGCATGCCTTTCTAGAAAGGTCGCTCCTTCGGCGCGAGGTTGGTGAGCAATCTCTGACCACTAAAAAAAGGTCTGAGCCAGAATGAACAAAGAAAATGTACACCTACCGCTAACATCGTAGACTTTAAATAGAAAGTTTAACTTGTCTGTTTTTGTTCCGTAATAAAGTCGATTTATTGCGTACAGTAGATGCCTTGTATTCACTCTACCAGTATTGGTGTTGTCATAGAGACTGAAGAAACGCTTGGCAAAGAATGACTGAAACAAAAGATATGAAATTCAAATTATTTAGCAAAAGATGTATTATTAAAATATCAAAGGCTAATAAATCCATTGATAGTGTTAAAAATACAATAGAGAAGTTGTTGGTGTTTTATATTTTTAATTTTAAATTGTTTTTCATGTCAATATCTCATACGATGATTTTAAATCTTGCAACAATACGTCGTATTTAAGGCGGCATTGACGTCATGCCGAAATACCAAGTTTCGATTACATCGATGTGATATCGAAACACATTCCCCTTGAATGCATTTGGTTGGGCCGTAACTGACTTTTCATGCATATGATTCTTGGTGAGGGCATGGAGCTTTGTTTTTAGCTCTATGGTGAGGGTCACCATGTATTTTGAAATATAAATGCAGTTATATTGTTTATGACTTTTTTATGTTTGTTAAATAAGTATCAGATACAGAATAATGTGGATATAAATGAACTATAAAAGGTCTTAGTGTGTAGTGTACAAAGTTCTAAGACGCAAAGCGGTTTACTTAAAATAACTGACCTTTTTCAAATGCAGAGCTTCTTTGAAGTCCAGAAAGTCGATCATTTTATCTTCTTTATCTCCTCGCACACCAAATAAATAGTGAAACCATGACAACCATTTTTCTTCTTTTGACAAACTGGGGAAAACAAGAGGAGGTTAATAATAACAATAACAAAATAACAAATATGACTATACATAATATTATTCTCTTGTCACATTATTTACAAACACTACCAAATCGAAACTTACAAACTGATTACACGTAAGCATGATACAATGTCCACACAACTCAAATAACCACTTCCGTGGGCATCCAATATTTTAAACAACTTCTTGGCACACTGCAAAAAACACAAAACATAAGTAATTATTAAAGGGCAGTAGTCGTATCGCCACGCATGGGCGAGATTATGGGTCTCATATAAACAAAGATGGTGACTTTGACTGTTGCGCAGATCAACATGTACAAACTGAGACGTTACGAAACTTTAATTAGGTACTTTTTAGGTGGTTGGAAGGTATCGAAGGAGTCACCGGTGGTAATTAGTGTAAGTCGCGCCCAGGTCAAATCTCATATTGTGATTCCCATTAAAAGAGCGCATTGGATTGTGGGGTAATCAATGTTTATCAACACAAATGTCGGACATGCGCAGCGAGACGACTACCGCGCTTTAAACATTCAGTGCATGCGCGTCATTGTAAAAAAAACAGCCTCTTTACGGCACCTTGTTATCACACGAGGAGATAAAAATATTTGTTGTACTTCTACTACCCAGTAATATATAAATCAAGTTAAAGACCTGCATATGGCATAGAGAGGTATTCTGTAAGTATTCCGTATTTAAAATTGTACAAGTAACCATGTGTATACCACCACAGTCACTCTCCTAGTAGAGTGGCTGTGATACCACTTACCTGACTGGTCTTTATGGTATCTCTAAAGCTCTTCATGGAAATTTCATGATTTTCTCCGCACACATTTTTAAATAATTTGTAAAACCAGTCTACATCTTGTTTCTGTTTTCCTTTACTGTAAATAATGTTGGATGAGAATGAATTGAGCTTACTTTTATATATAACAAAGACTTTACAATTGATTATGTTTCAATTACGCATGCGCAGTATTGCATAATTTCAATTTACATCAATACTACACAGTAATACCGCGATAGCACCGCTTACCTGGACAGTCTATAGAGTGCTCCTATCAACTCGTGAAAGTACATACTGCCGCCATTTTGTCCACTGAATATAGTATATAGTTGATATGCCAAATCCTATAATGAAAGTTACGGTAATAGTGAGTGGTTATTTATGGAAATTGCATTAGTCATTTGTGGTGGCATTGGTCGCAGATCATATGTTGCTGATTGTCTTTGTTACATTATTTGGTATATTGTAAATGTTTTCTCCAAACACAGGGTAAAATGACTACGTATATTCCAAACTGACATCATGAACTTTCATTTGTTGTTGTGAAATAGCAATTTAGTCACGTGGTAATGACATCACGTCATAATAGCATACCACGTGTTTCCGGTTGTCAGAAAGTACACTTATGTATACTGCTGTGCCGCCCATAGCCGAACGCATACTCTCCCGAACGCGACGATTCAATGTGCCACTGAATACAAAAAAATGTATGTATCAGAAAAAATCACCCTCTTCATAGCTTCTCCTGCAAAGTGCATCAACTTTGACTGCGGGGGAAACATGAAACAGTCAATTCACCCTCGTGTTATAGGCTTTACGGTATCAGCAAGGCGCGTCGACACTTCTGAACAAACATCATCTAAGTCTAATTAGTTTATATCGGCATGTCACAGGTCAGATGCACACGTAATGCTGTGTTCTCCCAGGAAGCTCCCTGGTTCTCCCAGGGTATCTTCGGGCATGGCGGTTTTACAGTGTTCAAACTTTCAAGAAAACAATAAAAGTTGTGATTTTTCTAATCGATTTTATTGTTTCAAAATAGCTACTGATTGTTATGTCATGCTGTCCAAAATTCCCTAGAAGACCACTGTGACGCCTACATTAACTGCAACACGGTTAGTAACCGTGACTGCAATAACGGTCTTAGGACGAGAATGTAGTTTTCATTTTAATAATACATGTAAATATTGGTAGCAACCGCTAGCGTGTGCTGTCCCATTATACTAGAAGGACTGTGGTATGTTGAAGAACGTGGATTCGTGGTTTAATACCGAAAATGACAAATAAAGTAACGTAATTGTTCTCAGTGTGATACTGGTTGCCTTATTTGACAACAACGGCTTTCTACTAGCCCGGAATTCTACGGGGTGGTTACCAACACACCGTGGAAATGATTTGACAAATTTGGAAAACAATCCTCATAAAATATTACATGGCGTAACATCGGTCCGGAATTATGGGAGTTATACAGAAGAGCAACGCTACATTCCCCAAAAAAGTCGCGACATGTTTTGCACGAAGTCCCGGACTTGCGAGGGAGGGTTGGTGTGATTACCCGTATTGCACGGCAATTTAGTTTACCGTACTCTCAGAGTACTTGGAACTTACCTCTGATAGCGAGGTGGCTCGGTCCACGAACTCCCTTTCTTTTATAAATCTTGACTCTCTGGTATTTAAGAAACGTTCCTCAAACCACGTCAATGCGATCGTTGTAGAGTTCTGTACGAAGTCTGGTACAATTTCGATAACTGCGTTCATAGATTTTGGTTCCATCCCTGATCGGTGATATATGAATGTTACGTAACGATTTTACAGTCATTCGGTGAATTTCATGTATTCTATATTGGAGCGAAGAAGCGAAAATCATCTGGTATTTACGTTGCTACCATCTGATATGTGATCTATTAGCACGATAACGTAGTTTTCAAGGAAACCGTTGGAAAGAAGTGTGAAACGTGTACGTCATACCGGGGTCCAAACACTCGAATTTATAACACCTTATTCATACCCTATCTGTCGACGTCGTTTATTTTTTAATCGTTGCTGTCTACTTTAAGTCAATATTGTAAAGGAGATAAGGCACGTAATCCAAACATTTGTTGATTTCTTAAACTCAACTGAATGGAATTATTCAGACTGTCGGCGACACTGTGTCTCCGGTAAAACAATTGAAGCTTAATTATGATGGCGCCGACACTACCGAGGTTCAGGGAGCTGTAATGAGAGGGAGCTGTAATGAGAAGGAGACTGGACCAATTCTAATCCCCATTAACGCCCTTTGTTTTAAAGACTGTAATCCCTTATAAAACCATTGTGTACGATTCCTTTGTCCCGTGTGATCGACGCCGCGGAGAACGTCCCTGATTTCACGCCCACTGAACTGAATAGCACTTGACGAGTCACGTGCACAGTGCGCAGTTAAGGTTGAAGGTTATCACTCATTACAGCTCCCTGATAATATTAGCACCACGGATTTAATTATTAGGGATTCGTCGCTTCAAAACTGGGCTGGAGATTTCATGTAAAGAAATTTTGTGAAAAAAAAGAAAATTTACGCGACTGCATAGTAAATGTAAGGAGGGAATGTATATCGCCAGACATATAGAAAATAAAATATTTAGAAAAAAAAAATTAAACCAGTAATGAATCACATTCTCAGTGTGTGTTTATGAAATTTGGTTTGCTTCACGGTAACCTGACTTTGCCATTTATACACTCACATAATATTTCATTTATTGAACAAAAAACAAAGGAGAGTATGTATGCAACCCAACACATTGTCCGCGTAGCTAAAACAGATTTTCAATGTGACATACTCCCTTCCGGGTTTCTAACGCAATTTTGGCATTTTTATATATTTCGTAAATTTCTAACGAGATTTAGAACAACCATATCCGTCAAAAACTTGACCAATCACAACGACTTAGCGGACGAATGACAGTAAATCGGCCAATGATTGAATGATACAAATACACTCATGGGGTACACTGATGGGCGTTACCATTTTTTTCTTCAGCCAATGAAAGCGTCTTTTATTTTTTTGAATGCAGCGCGAGGCTCTTCCGAGATAATTTTTTTTTTATAAATTCCCGTTCATGCCTTTATACGGTCATGAAAAAGCACTGGGCAAAATCGTTGATATACGATTGTATACGCAGATATACATTTTGTGTATATTCACGGTATACGTTTAGTATACGCAGATATGATTACGTATACAAATCGTGGAATATACGTACATATGCGCTACGTATTTTTATGGTTTCTTTCACACATGCCCGCCTTGGGTGGCACGCAGCGTATACGTACGTATTTTACGTGCATTCTCGTAGTACAATTAACGTTGTTTAAACGAAGTCTGTATATTTACGCATACGTGGAGTATACTGTGCGCGTGGAATTGTCCGGTTTTATTTGGGATCGCGGTCGCCAGTACTTATAATAAATAATTACCGGAACTGTCGACTCACATGGCGTCTTGAAACGATCTAAAAACGTCTCCTGTTTTGCCGAGTACATGTAATTGAGAAATGCCTATGTACAGGTACAATTTAGAAACGGTTGTTACTAATTTCTAAATTAAAAAAAAAAACATTTCCTGACTGAAGTGCACCATCGCTTTGATAATAACGTGACGTCTTCATTTGTCTCACTATACACTGGTGAATTCGAACACAAGACAGGAAATTGCACAATACGTTGATTAATTGCAATATCATTCGCAAGCCTGAATGAATGCGAACAATACAGGTGTGAATATTTTGGCGAGTGTTAAAATACTTTCCATTCGGGTCGTGTGAGTGTTTCTCGGGGCCGCTTGTGGTCTCATACACGTGAATGTTGGCCGATCGGCATTTTGGTAAGAATAGCCACAAAGTCCATACCAAAAAAGTGAAATGAATTCTCACTGAGAGACATGTAACAAAATTGGTCGAATTTGCTGTCATCGCCATTTCTAGGGATCGTTTGATTACGGAGTTTCATTTCTATTCCATTTACCATCGTACGCTGCGTTATTTTCAGAATACGATCTATATCACCACAGTCACTCG